ACAAGATTTTGTGGAGAAAAGCTGCCAGACTAAATTGGAAGTCTCTTGGAATTGCAACATCTTGTCCTCTTTGATTGCAAGTATTTGAACTCATTTCCTGAAGGCCTTCGTAATCCCATATCATTACGAACATTGACCATAGAGGGATCCCCAAATTTGCTTGTTGATAAGGGAGCCAAAATTGCTCATAATATAGTGGACTAACAATATAGTGCTTGGAGTGATTGCACTGCACGCCAAGCCTAACAAATGTAATCCACCGAGTTCCATTTGATTGAATATTTGTATAAGGAGCCGAAAGCCTTGTAGCCTATGACATTGATGCTCTCCTATAAGTCAAGGGTCACGGGTTTAGGCTCTTAGTGCCTGCCCTTTTAATTTGAAAAAAAAAAAATTGTGCAAGGAGTAGCATGCCTCTAACTAGTCCCTCTTTTGTATTGTATGCTTTGTTTCATTGCCTTTGTTGTGGACACATGTGATTTGATATTGTTGTGCAGAGTCTGTTTCAAAAGTTAATCCCTCTCTTTTATAGTTCCTTGAGTAATATTCACTCGTCAAATGTACAGCCGGTGTGAAAGAAAAGGGTCAAATGTACAATCAATGATGAGCTGACATTTTCTATATGAATGCTTGTCACATGCAATCATATGAATGAGTTCTTGAGTAAACTGTAAAATGTCCATAAAAAAAGTTTAATGATTTCTTAATTAGGTTTAATTACGTCAAAAAATGTGAAAACTTTTTCCTTAAAAAATTTGAAATATACTTCGTATTTATCACAAATGTCTAATTTAACTAATTTTTTTAATCTCTTCAAATTAACTAGCTCTTATATTAAAGACCAAAGGTAGTATTATCAAATTAGGTCAACACCATTATATATTTTATATAATCTGCAGTGCTTTTTCTTCCCCCTGATTTTCTTGTTATTCTTGTTGCAATCTAGTTCATGTCAACCATACATGTCTTCTAGTAATATATAGGAAAAATGATATAAAAATGATTCCTAAATTTCAAAATCCTTAAATGGTCACTTAAATAAGCAAAATTTTAGTTTAGGTATAAGTGACTAAATTGAAATTTGCAAATTTACTTAAATGACTATATTGTTGTCTTTTTCTAAAAAAAACAAAATATACGAACCACCCTTATCGGCGGCCTGCCGTTGGAGTTTTGGTGCCAGTAGTGACCATTAGAGTTCAGGTGGGCTGCCATCACCAAAGCTTTGGCGGCAGGCCTACGACCCATTGTTAAAGCTCTGGCAGCTGGCAACTATTTTTTTAAATATATTTTTACAACTTCAATAATACCGTCAATAAGTTTTTTAACGCTATTAACAAGTCTTGTATAGCAATTAACAACAAGTTTATTAGAAAATAATTTATGTAACCCTAGTAATAAGTTTGATATAATAGTTAACAACAGTTTTTCTAAAAAATTTAACAATAACGATTAACAAGTCATATAATAATATTAACAAATCTTATAATACTATTAACAAAATTTTCCTATAAAGATTAATGTTTTTAATATTAGCTCCCTATCAAAGTTGTACATCAAAATTTTTTCATTTATTAGGCAATCACTATGGTTATGAGAGTTGTTAATATCATTACATGACTTGCTATTAAAATTGTTAATGGTATTATAAGAATTGTTAGTATCATTACATAACTTGTTAACTAGGTTACTAAAGTTAAAAAAAAGTCATTTTTTGAATTTGTCAGAAAACTTGTTGTTAACTACTCTAGCGAACTTATTAATAACGTTACAAAACTTGTTAACCTCGTTATTGAAGTTCTAAAAATGCCACTTTTTAATTTTCTAAAAAACTTATTATTAATTGATATAACGAAGTTGTTAATAGCGTTAAAGAACTTTGTAAAGATCTGAAAAAAATAGTTGCTGGTTGCTGGAGTTTTGACAACTAGTGGTTGAAATGCTGCCAGAGCTTTGGTGATGACAACTCACTTGAACTTCTGCGGATGATCGCCGATGAGGGTGCTTGGTATAATTTCTTTAAAAAAATAAAGGGCAATATGGTTATTTTAGTAAATTTATAAATTCCAATTTAGTCACTTATACCTAAATTTGAATTTTTCTTATTTAAGTGGCTATTTGGGGACTTTGAAATGTCATCTTGGTCTGAATGCTTGTTGAATAAAGTTGCATTCGGACGATGCATACTTTCTTTTATTGAGAAAAATGCAAAGGAAAATAACCTATGAGTCATTGTTAATTCACACCAAATGAAAAGATGAACTTTTCAATCCCAATTTGAATCCTTACCCATTATTTTTAATGTTTTGTATCAATCGGGACTTAAAAGTATTCTTTAGCTTTAGTACAATCAATTCATTTTTCATGTGTTTATTGATATATAAATTGACTGATTTCTTAGATCAGAGTCCCTCTGCTGGTCAAAAAAAAAAAAAATCAGAGTCTCTCGCATTTTCAAAAGAATAGAATCATACATATATTGATTCATTCATTATGTTCATTTAATGATTCTTAAATAATTTTAATTTTATTTATGTCAAACAAAGTAAAGGATTGTTTGAAAACTTGTTCTTCGGGGCAAAAAGTGGAAAGTCAAATTAGTTAATATTTGTAAATGACTTAAAGTGTGGCAACGATATTCATTTATCGCACTTACTCTGCATATAGGGTGTAAAACAGAGCATCTAACTCACCAACAATACAAGTAAATTATTCTTCATTTTTTTCTTCTCTTGGTCCATATTTACAAGTTTGCTTTGCTTGCTGGATTGTTTTTGCGGGTTGCTAGACTGGCGTCCAGGCAGATTTATGCCGAGATTTCTCAGGTAATGAATTTTCCTTCCTCTTCATTTTTTTAGTTCATTTCCTTCCTCTTCATTAATTATTGTTGCTAATGTTTTTTTTGGGCTTTAATATTGTTTGCGAATGATTGTAGGTGAAATAAGGGTATGCCAAATCACTTTGGACTTAAAACTAGACTGGAATAGTTAAGAAATAAACCTCCCAACAAATATACTTTTCAGGATTAGAATTTGTTTTCTCCTCCTTATAAGGATTAGGCAGTTATCACTTACCAACTCAACCAATAATTTGTTGATACTATGCTTCCACTTTAATGTGAGAATGAATAACTAAGTAAGAAAATTTAAATAAGGTTTTGGGGTAGACATAAATAAAACATAAGAAGAAAAGAAAATGATGAAATGAATGAAAAGAAGCTACCTCCTACGTTCCTCCAGGTAGACGACACTCCTAGGAGTGTGATTTGATTTTTGATGTTGTTTCAATCTCTTTCAGGGGTTACTTGGCTACGAATGCTTTTTAAGTTTTCTACCAGGGGCTGAACTTCTAGGAAAGTCACAGAACATTACCTTCCAAGTTCCAACTCAATTATTTATGCAAGCTGGGCTTGCAGCAACACAAATCAAAATCACAAACTAAAATTATAAAATTTTCTTTTCTTTCACATACCAAAAAAAGATGAAATCCATCACTATGAAGTGTGAGAGTTCTTAAGGGACTGACGAAACTAGGCTGAAATCAGGTTCTAATCTTTATGAGGAAAGGAGAGCGGAAACCAACAATGAGTAGTTGCAAGATGCCACAGCTAAATTCAAAATCTTTAACATTTACGAGTTCTTTAACCTTATTATATACTTATGTAGGATAAGCCTTGGGACGATGACAAACAAAAAGTTTGACGTGCTTTTAGAGTAACTGGTTTTTTTGGCCGTTGGCGCAAAAAAAAAAACTGATTTTTTTGTCAAATGCCACTTTAAAGTTAAAATAACTCTTTTTTAATTTCTGGTTTTTGCATTTTCTTCAAATTTAAAGCTTTTAAAATAAAGTTTTCAACTTATTATCTATAAAAGTTTATGTCAGGCTGACTTTTTTTTTTTGAAAAAAACAAAAGCTTATTTAAATATAAATCGCAGGCATCAATTGACTTTTACCTCATCTTCAATTCACAAAAGTCAATTGGGATAAAAATTACCTTTATCAATGTTAATCTAAATAAGACCTTTTGGTAACTTCACTGAAATACTCCCTGCATTTGACTCAAATCCACTTATATTTAGCTACAAGGCCAAGTTGCTTTTGAAAACGTACAAGGCATTCTTTGCTATTAATACCTAAGCTGGAGTTTGCAGCGAATACTCACCAAACAGTGGAGAACAATACAATCTTCTAAAATTTAAGAAAACCGAGGATCTTACTGATCAACAATACAAGTCAGTTATTCTTCAATTTTTCGCTCGGTCCCTGTATATATTTATACGCATACACATACATATATAATTTACATATACACACATTATAGAGACAAGCGATATTTGGGAATGCAAAAGGGTCATTTGAAAATATCAAGAAAAAAAAAGTTCGAATTTTCCGTTGATTTCTATAAACTACAGTAAAGCCATTTTATAACGCGGCCCACATGAATTTATTTGGCTTTTAAGAGATTGTCGTGTGGTGAGAATTGGACAAGCGGCCACCAATCTTATCCTTTTTGAGTCAATGAAAAAGGCGTCTGACAGTGATTAAAATATGGCTGAAATTTCAAACTAAAGCCACACTCAGCAACTCCCTCAATCACTACTCTTAACTAGTATAATCAATACTCCCCTACGCTTTAATTTTTTTTTTTTAATATAAATGATACGATCAATGAAAAGAAGCTTCTCCTTATCTTCCCCTACGTTTTAGAATGACAAAGCTGCTTGCACTGTGATTTGATCTTCTTGTTAATCCCTTTCAGGAGTTTCTCTTTATCTTTCGGGAAAGTCAAAGTGCGTGCTCCCTACTACGGAATTCTAACTAAATATTGATAATATAAACTTCACAAGATGGAAGTAGACCAAAACGAGAAAACAAAGTTCTCCCATATATAATTAAGAGAAAATTAGAGATAAATCCCTCATTAAAAATTTAATTAGGAAATAGGATCTAAAATCGGACGAGACATCATTATTCGCGGAATAAATATGTGCACTATAAACTCAAGAGGAATAGCCGATAGGAGCTAAAATGAGATTATTTTTCTTCCGTACGAAGCCACCAAACGACTCATCCATATCCAATTCCTCAGGCCTCATCCCCTTCGGTAGTTTCCAATCAAAATGATAAAGTAAATTGGAAAGTAACAATTCTAAAATAGGCATTGCAAATGTGGATCCGGGACATGTTCTTCTTCCGGCACCAAATGGGATATACTCAAAGTTCGAACCTTTGAAGTTGTAGTCAACCATCGTATTGAGAAACCTCTTTGGTTCAAACGTCTCTGGATCATTCCAATTCTTGGGATCTCTTCCGATGGCCCAAGCATTAATGATAATCTTTGTCCTAGGAGGTATCACATATCCATTAATTTCACAACTCTCACTATTTTCTCTTGGAACCAACAATGCTAATGGTGAACGTAGCCTTAGAGTTTCTTTGATGACAGCATTTAAATATTTCAATTGGTGAAGATTTGATTCATCTACATATCCTTTGCTTCCATAGACTCTTCTTACCTATTGTAGAATCAATAATAATTTTCAAGTATAAGTCAACTCGATAGTTTCAAATTTATAAATCAATATGAATAAATGAATTAAATAAAATATCATATATAGATACTATAAGATTAATATATACTGTATTTATAGATACACACAACCCACAAAATTATGATATCACAACATTCAAAATTCTAGCTAATTTTATCTATACCTCTTCTTGTGCCTCTTTCATAACCTTTGGGTTTCTGAGTAATTCTGACATCGCCCATTCTGTTGTGGTTGCTGTTGTTTGAGTTCCAGCGAAGAAAATATCCTGAAAATGGAATTCAAAATAAGTGCATTTTGAGTATCAAAATAAATTACAAATTATGTTACATTCAATATGAAAAAGTGCATCAGGCCAAAAAAGAATATGATAAGTGCATACGAAGACTAACTTTAAGAACAGCTTTAACGTTGCCAAGAGAAAAGGGGGTCAAGAGAAAAGGGGGTGTCAAAGTCATTATCCTTTTGAATCGTGAGAAGAATATCGACAAGATCTTCCTCTGCCTCTCCAACATTGTTTCTTTTCTTTTCTCTGTGGTCTCTGATGATGTCATCAAACACCTTATCTCCCTCTTTGTGCAACTTCATGATTCGAGCTCTCGTCCCAGTGATGACACTGATAAATTTCAGCGACGGATACAAATCAGAAATTGATAACCCAGAGCTTAACTTTATCGTTTGCTCCATAATTTCCAACATCTGTTCTACGTTCTGTGTCTTTGTCCCAAAGGCTGTTCTCGCAACTACGGAATTCGTGAGCGTGGAGATTTTTCTACTAAGGTTTATGAAAGAGCCTTCATGTTCAGCAATATTGCTTACAAGTGCTGATATCTCCTCTTCCCTAATCCTTCTGAATGACTGAACCCTCTTTGCTGAGAAAATCTCTAAAGTACAGATCTTCGAAGTTGCCTCCAATAGTTTCCATATGGGGAAAAGATGATGTCTGTGCTATTGTAGGCAAAGATATCAGAGGCGAGAATTCTGGGTCTGTTAACAAAGATCTGATCATGGGTCTTCATTATTTCTTTGGCATATTCAGGTGAAGACACTATGATATGAGAATTTGTCCAAGTTTAAGGTGCATGAATGGACCATACTTGTTTGCAAGATTTGCGAGAGAACGATGAGGTAGTGACCCAATGAGCTGGTGCATATTTCCTATGAGAGGTAATTTCCATGGCCCTGGAGGTAGGGTTTTGATGGATTTTGCGGAAGAAGATAGCTTGTGGATGACAAAGAAAAAGCAGAAGAAAGTGAAGAAGATGATGGAATATGGGATCTGCATCTCCATATTGAAAGAATGGTAGTGTGAGATTTTGAGCTGTTAAGCCCGCCTTTTATAGGCAAGAATTGTAATTTAAAATTCCTAACTAATCCTTTTTAGAGGCAAGAACTGTAATTTAAAATTTCTAAATCGTCGACTTCATGATTTTTTCCCCCTACTTTTCGTTTGACGTATATTTGTTTGACTCGCTACGTTTCTTTGACTTCTCCTCCGTCCTTGACAATTGACTTATTTGAAGTTTTATATTTAATGTTGTCCACTTGCTAGTATTTCTAACAGGATTAAAGATTAACCTTATACCAAATTAAGTTGTCCATGTTAGTTAGAAGAAGAAAGATTCCACAAATTAAGGTCCATGCAGGGAAGGGGACGGAAGGGAGATGGAGAGAAGCCGCCCCTCCAGAAGTAAATGATCCTCATTAGTCAAGTTTTTACTGTTTTGATGAAATTTAAATTTAAATTTTTAATATGTAATTTTCTTGATGATAAATTTTATGTACTCCTCCAGAGTCGTATTTATATTATTGATGGGATAAAGAATATACACTCTAATTAATATTGGTTTGTAGCGGAAATTCCTTTCTTAGAAATACAACTTTAATTTGATACAAAAATGCAAAATTAACAATAAGCCACTATACATTTTTTTTTTGGCCAACTAACAAGCCACTATATATGGACTCTCTCTCTCTCCCCCTCTGAAGGAGAGACTTTTTGTAAGAAATAAATGAGAGTCTTTTGAGATTTATTGCGCTGCTCTCTTTTATGAATAAATTAGTAGAAAAGCATTTTACAAAAAAAAAAAAAGGATTAAAAAAGCAGCTAGTTTATCATTTTACACCAAAAAAATTCAAAGCAAAACCATTTTTATTCATTTCTGGCTTCCACAACGTCGATTCAACGGTAACTAAAATTAAGTAAAAATGCATAAATATTGTTGTCATAATTGATTTAAAATCTTTAGTTATCAACTTTGACATTTTTCCCCACCAATCCCAACATGCATACCTTTGAATAACAGTACATCGGCAATGTGGGTGGGTACCATAACCCTGGTCGATTTAAATCACTGACCCTTGATTTAAAATTAAAGGCCAATAGTGTAGTGTCTGATTTCAAATCAAAATATTAAAATAAAATAAATTATATTATAATTAATTATCTGTAGATTAAGTTAACGAATCTTTAATTTGTGGGTCTCATTGCTTAATCAACACCCATGGCATCTTGTTGAATTTGTTTTTAGATTATATACACACGTACATATTGTGATATTTGAATCAAAAGAAATATAGTTAGACTTTTCTATACGAACGAAAGACGTGGGTTACCTTTGAATTATATTCAATCAATCTTGTTGAATCACATTTTAAATATTGCGTAATGTTATGGAGTAGAAATAGTTACAAAAGTTTGAATGTATTATTGAGTCAAAAAATAGCTACAAAATTTTAAACCTTTATTTTATTAATTTAATGTAAGGTAATATCACAGAGACTTGGGGAGAACTAATAATAAGAAACAAACAAATCGTTTACGCAATTTGAAGGTTTATTTTGCTGCTCTTTTCTGAAATGAAAAAGCATCTAGTTTATAATTCTCCACCAAAAAAAAAATTCAATACAAAACGATCTTTTTAATTTATTTCTGGCTTCAACAACACGCATTTAAAGATATCTAAAACCAGCTAATTAAAACAGTATTCAGGTACTAAACACATAAACTCAAGGGGAATAGCCAATAGGAACTAAAATCAGATCATTTTGTCTTCTTACTGCGGCACCAAATGGCTGGTCCATGTCCAATTCCTTAAACTTCATGCCGTTTGGTAGTTTCCAGTTAAAATGGCAAAGTAAATTGGAAAGTAACAACTCTAAAATAGATGTCGCAAATGTTGATCCAGGACATATTCTTCTTCCAGCACCAAATGGAATATAGTCAAAGTTTGAAACTTTGAAGTTGTATTCAACCATTGTATCAAGAATTCTCTTTGGTTCAAACTTCTCTGGGTCAGTCCAATCTTGGAATCTCTTCCAATGGTCCAAGCATTAATGATAATCTGTCTTAGGAGGTATCACATATCCATTAATTTCGCAACTCTCATAATTTTCTCTTGGAGCTAACAATGGCCCAGGTGAATGAAACCTTAGGGTTTCTTTAATGACAGCACTTAAATATTTTAGTTGATGAAGCTCTGATTCATCTACATATCCTTTGCCTCCATAAATTCTTCTTACCTAATATAGAGCCAAAAAAAAAACTCATGTGCAAGTCAACTCAGTAATTTCAAATTTATAAATTAATGTAAAAAAAAATAATTATGATACAATATTCAAAATTCTAATTGTATCTATACCTCTTCTTGTGCCTCTTTCATAGCCTTTGGGTTTTTGAGCAATTCTGACATCGCCCAATCTGCTGTAGATGCCGTTGAGTCAGTTCCACCAAACATGACGTCCTGAAAAAGGAATTCACACAATTGATTAGAGGAATTGATGAGTGTGTGCACTTGTGCATTTTGTGTATAAAATCACAAATTATCTGACATTTATTAATATATGATAAAGTGCCTATGAAAACTAACTTTCGGAACAGCTTTAATGTTGTCAAGAGATAAGGCATGTAAAAGTCATTATTCTTTTGAATCCTGAGAAAGAACATCACACAGATCATTCCCGCATCTCCAACGTTATTTCTATCCTTTTCTTTGGGTCTCCAATGATGTCATCTTCACCTTG